GCAGGACTGCCTCTCTCTGCCTTGGGGCACACTGACAGGCTTACAGCACACATGAAACTGTTGTCTGGTAAGTGCAAAGACCACACAGTGACAGGCAGAAATGTGCATTTAAACTCTCCAGCTACCACTTTTCTCTTTAAATCACAGCCATAATTTTACATGGGCATAAAATTGTGCCCTTTGCAGGGAGAGGCTTGCTATTTGCTTCACTGAGCAATTGAACCTTGGCAGGCCTTCCCTTCAGCCAAAATCAGAGCCCACTGCATAAAGGGGACAAGTCTTGCAGCCCTTAGTGATCAACTTCAACAGAAATTTGGCTAGAGTGGGGGAGGGAAAACCATTAACGAATAGGTCTAAAAATAAACGCAAGGGTTTCCTGACATTGTTTTCTATTCTTCTGTATTCATCTAATGAGGGAAAAAGAACAGTGGGATTCAAACTGCATTTTAGTTTGCAGCTAATATTCAGGTCCCAAGAACATATATACACAATGGGAGGACTCAGAAATGAGCAGGTCTTGACTGATGCCATGATGACCTTCACTTCTATTGTTCCTGGGTGTTGTGAGAGAGAAATCACTCACCATCACCAATACCTCTTCAAATTACTTATTACAAGGTTAGGTGTCCAAAGACTTAACACTTAAGGGCTTTTTTTTTTCCTGCAAAAGCTCAACCATTTCTTTTATAAAAGAAACCAGTATGTTACATTTATAGGTAACATCTTAAACTCTTACGTGTCAGAGAATATAATGAAAGCTCTAATTGTTTCTTTCGGTATCTTCAGGGAACCTGCCAGAAATTCTCCCATATCTGCAGCAGCCAAATACACAACTTTTCTAGCAATGTATCTATCTATGTCATAGGACAGGCTTGAAAAAGAGGCGACAATATTGATCTTTCAGAAATCTATACAAAAACTATTTAGGTTCATCTATCTTGAATACCGCAATTACAGAGCACAGCTCTGACTGTTAGATTCCTTGATACATGCTGAAATCTAGCAGTTTGAGTGTTTACTTTCTCCTTCTTACAAAAGTATCTCATTGCAAACTGCCCTAAAGGTATTCAGAGAAATCCACAAGTTTTCCTAATGGTTTTCAAAAGTAAAGAAAAAAAAAAAAAAAAAAAGCTTGTTTCTTAGTCTTCTGTTATGCAAGTTATATGTAAGGGGCAAGCTCCACTGGGGTCTGGAGGTGTATGGAGTCTGGGGTACTGAAGTAGCAATCACTTGGCAGATATTATGACAAAATGAACAGACAAGTAAAGACAAAGTTCTGGGGCAGTTTACACTGATGGTTCCCAAACTTGGGATGACATGGTTACAACAATTGACTATGTGCTAACTTCTGTAACAGCCTTGGGCTGCTTCCTTTGAGTCATTAGAGTAGCAGGCAATTCATTTCTACCGTATTCTCTCTCAAAATAAAATGACTACAATAAATAAATAAATAAATAGAACCAACAGGATGAACTTATTTACTGATTTTGGCTGGGATGGACTAAATTTTCTTCTTTAGTTCTGTGTTTTGGATTTGTGACCAAAACAGTGTTGATAACACACTAACCTGTAAACTGTTGCTGAGCAGTGAAAAAATTGGGAGGGAACAAAGCTGACCCCACCTGACCAAAGGGATATCCCATACCACATGACATTATGATCAGCAGCAAAAGCTGAGGGTAAGAAGCAGAGGGAGCAGAATGTCCATTAATGGCATTTGTCTTCCCAAGTAACTGCTACACGTGATGATGCCCTGCTTTCCTGTAAATGGCTGAACATCTGCCTACCAATGTGAAGTGGTGGATGAATTCCTTATTTTGCTTTGCCTGCACATGCAGCTTTTGCTTTACCTACCAAACTGCCTTTGTTTTGACCCATGAGTTTTCTCACTTCTGCGTTTCCAATTCCCCAGTTCCAATGGGGAATGTGCAAGCAGCTGTGTGGCGCTCAGCTGCCTACCAGCGTTAACCCACCACGACTTATTTCATCTTTTTTTCTGTGCCGGTCACCCTTGACTCCATTTCATGGAGTTTAAGATCCCAAAGGATCATTGGTTCACCTTGTCTGACCTTCAGTGCACAAAGAGACGTATAACTTCACTCACAGCCTCAGGCAGCTCACTACAGAGCTCTCAGGCATTTTGCCATATCTTGCAAAACAAAACCTCTCCAGCAATAGTCTGCCTGCCCTTTCCTCTTCAAGTGGTCAGCTTCACAAGACCAACTCAGAAGCTACCTCCCTCACACCTTGGCCACCTCCGAACAGCCAGCTGGATTGGACTTTCTACACAATATTACACCTACAAAAATTTCTCTGCTTATCGGATAACAGAAGTACCTTTCTAAAGCTGTAACACAATGCAGGAAGACAAGCCTATCTCTAGCCTGCCTAGCAGTCTTTATTATTTACCTCCCCTGGTATCCACTGATAGCTAAAGAACATGCCTCCACATCTGGGCTCTTTCTCTCTGCAAGATTTTCGTGAGCTACTTTCATATTAGACCTTCGTCACAAGGCTTACGGGTGTGTTACTGAACATTTGGCATTTTTTTAGAAAATACCATACTGAACTTTTACGAGTTCATGAACTGATTCAAATAACCCCATAAGAGCAATGCAAAATTGTAAATAAGGCAGCAGTGGCCATTTACTATGATATCCTTCTCTCTCCTAGAGTTCTGGTGAAGATCCAAAAAAGAATTAGGAATGGGGCAGATTCTTCTGGGATCCCACATCCTTTTGGCCTGGATGAGAAACTATCCACCACACTGACATCAGCTAGGTAGGAATTATGAAGCCCACGGGCCCCAGTGCCAGGTTACCTGCTGCTCTTTTAATCATTAGTGCCTACCCATTGTGTCGCAGTGCTATCATTCATTAGGGGGCAGAGTGCCTTGAACACAAGATTGGAGATACTATCAGCATTGTTTCTGTGTACATATCCTGTTTTAGCCCTTTTTTCTTTTAGGTTCTGCCCTACCTGTGACTTCTCCATGACCTTACCACTTGTTCTGTGTGAGTGCCTCTGGTTATTGCATATCTATGTTCATATGCTTTCCTGTTGTTGCTTTACCTTCATCTGCTGCACGCACTCCCAGCAGACAAAGTACAAGGTGGAGAGGGCAGAAGCTGTAGACAAAATGCATCAATTGAGAAGAATAGGGGTATGAAAAAGACCTCAAAACCACAAATTGTGCTAGATATAACAAAGCACTACATCCACAGCTTCCCCATGTAGTTCTTCTGATGTAGTTTAATGTGACAGTTCACAATGTACAGAGACCTAAGTGCTCTCCTTCACCACTCTGTTCTGTGAGTATTAGCTGAGGAAAGTAGGCTAAATATTTCATAAACTGGTTTGGGGTTTTTTGAAGTTATGTTTCATTTCTTTTGTTTTGTTTGTGTGCTTGTTTTATTGTTTGTTTGTTTTATTTGTTTTTGTTGTTTTGTTTGTTTTTGTTGTTGTTTTTTTAAATACAGTAATAAATTAGAATAGTTCAGTTGGAAGGGACCTACACAGATCATGAAGTTCAACTTCCTAACCACTTCAGGGCTTATGAAAAAGCATGTTCAGGGCTAACCAAATGTTAAAGCATATTGTTAAGGGCATTATCCAAATGCCTCTTGAAGACTGTACAGGCATGGGACATCAACCACCTCATAAGAAAGCCTGTTCCAGAGTTTGACCACTATCATGGTAAAGAAAAGTTTCCTAATTTCTAGTCTGAACTTCCCATGGTGCAGCTTTGTGCCATTCCCAGGTGTTCTATCATTGCTTCCCAGGAAGAAGAGACTGCCGCCTCCCTTTCCATTTCACCTTCTCAGGAAGTTGCAGAGAGCAACAAGATCACTTCTTGGCACCCCTTTTCTCCAAACTGTTATTAGGGACAACAGTAGAAAATATTAATCTGTGTGCAACAGCAAATGATCTGGAAAGGGATGAAGTCTAGTGGGCAATACCTTTTAGCACAGAATATAATGCTTGCTTGTCCCTTGGAGCATAAGCCTTCACTTTCCATGTGATGATTGCATTTTATTGGTGCACCCCTTTCTGCAGAAAGACCTCGGGCTGTCAACCTTTCCTCTGCATTTTCACCCTCCATCTCACCAGCTACTAAGCCTTTGCTTTGCCCAAGAGAAGTGTGTACATGGTTGGCTGGTAAAGCTAGTATGTCTTCAGTGGGAGGTACAGCACACAAAAAGGAGCCAACCAGGCCAGGAGGCAGCTGTTTCTCCCCTGCACTGATTCAGACAGCAGGCCGCAGCAAAAATCCCTTTTTCAGTCCCTGCTCATCTCCTGATGATATAATTACTTGATCAAGCCACAAGAGGAGGTTTTACAGTCAGGACAGAGCTGGGAACAGAGCATTCTGGAGGCTGATCATGGGTTACAGACATTCTTCTTTATGAGAAAAGACCAGTCTGAAGTCTGATCATATTTAGGAAACATTGCAAAGTTTCCTAGAGAAAGATATTGTTCACAAAAATCCCCCCTAGTCCTATCCCTTTAGGATGAGAAAGACCACCCCATACAGAAGAATGGCTCTGTAAAGGCAGAAATATCAAAGACTGTGGAAGCCATGAAGAACTTTGATGTTAATTCTTTGTTAAAAAAAAAAAAAACTGCATATGATGGCATGAAATAAAGTGAATGGATAGACAAAGACTGTCCTGTCACTCTGAAAACCAGCCTCCCCTCCAGACTCACCACTGCCCATCTTCAGGAATGTCTTTTCACTTGGTGCCTTTTTCTATTTTCTGCTTGAAATATTAAACATATTGGTTCTTTAGAACCAGTAGGAATAAACCATTACTTTTGACAATAATGTTTGAGATCTAGCTAATTTAGAATTATAAAAATATTGTATAAAAATGAAAATGATATAATACACAATTGGTGGGGTACTTGTTATAAAGCTGTGAATATAATTTAAAGCTGGAATAGATCTCTGTATTTGTTTAATTTCATCTCCTACAGGTCACTGAATAAATGAATTCCCTGAATTCTTTATTTAAAAATACAGTTTGACATAATTTATCACAAGCTTCTGACCAATTATCCTCCTTACTAATAAATTACTCTTTTATCAGCTAAAAATTAGATAAAACATTGTAACTCTGTCTAGAATGTAACACAGTAAAACATTGGTTCCTTTTTTCATATAACATTTGATTTACAGGTTAAAATTCACACAAGATTTTAAATATGTAAACGGAGATTTTCATTACTGTGACAGCCTTTAAAAATAGTCAAATACATACAGTGTTGGCATTACTGAAAACCTGCGTAGAAACCGAGTTTGTATCCAAAGTCAGTTAATCTCTTTCCAAAGCGCATTATAAATAGGAATTGATGTGGTAACATTTTAAAATTGTATTATCAAGAAAGTCAGGTCTAAACGTACCATTTTAACTTGATTTGCCATTTCTCATTATCATTTTACTATTTATTTTGTCCCATTTTTCAATTGAATGACTTAAGTATTGCCCTTGAGATGCTCCTATTTATAGCATATCTTAGAATTTATTAGGTTCACAAAAACTCAGTCGATGATGTTGACCTTTACAAGAAAGAATCACTCAGACTCCTTAATTCCATTTCACTGCATTGCAGTGGTAGCTATCTTTCTCTGTTTTATCTAAATTTTACTTACTAATTTCACTACCCTAAGGCTGTCTCAAACAAGACGACATTTTCAAGCTTCATTTTTTCATAGCTTCTTTATTAAATGCAAATGTTCTCCTTTTGTAGTTTTCTTTTTCATTAAATTTAGGATAACAGAAAAACTGTCAAGAAAATATATATAGTTTCCGAATTCCAGTTGTGAAATATACCTGCAAAGGTAGAGAAGCCTTACCTTCCAGAAAAGCACGGCCAAGTTCCACCAAAGAAACAAACTGAAAGAATGACCGACTGGGTCATCTCACACTAATGTGGGTTATCTACTTCAAAATGAATAGAAAGAACAGGAAAGAACTAGAAATACCAGCATACAAGAAAAAAAGTATGCAAAACTGAATTAAGTTAGTAGATTATGAAGAGGTTAAATAAAATGTCAGTGCAGGGAGGAACATACATCACTGAAAAACTTCAGCACGCAGAGCAGATAGCGTGACTACTGATTCACAGAAAAGAAGGTGATGGCAGGTTAATTAACCACATTTCATGTATCTGTAGAAAGATCACAAAAGGAGCAGAGACTAAGAAATGGTAGTAAAAGCTGCTATATTTTAATTTTCAGAGCAGAAATTGGCCTGGAGTTTGTTTGTTGCTGTTACTAACTGCTGACTATTTCATTCTGGCATTCAGGAGTATTTGCCCAGTGAGCAATGCCTGAACACAGAGGTTCGTTTAAAAAAAATCAAGGGAATCTAGAAGGATGACAAGCCCAGACAGAATCAGAATATTTACTCAATCAGAGCAAAATTCAAAAGCAAAAACCCCAATGCAACAGAATGCGACAGTAAATTTACCATCGTCAAATTTACCATTGTCACAGGGAAATTGTGCCATGTGGTAGGATCATGGGAGATCATAGTTCCAGCATTTCTTCCCACCTCTTTTAGTGATTACAAAAAAGGCTGCAAAAGTGTTTCCTCTCTGAAAATGTAACATCTTTTCTGTCTTGCAGCATATCTCTGCAACCCAGAGTCAGCCCATGACCCTGGCTGCAAGGAGAGCCACTGGAACTCAGGTGGGAAATGGTAGTAAGAGGCAGGCAAGCATCCCATCCCAGCTGAGGCATCCCAATGCAAACAAAGTGATATCCAGATCTAGAACATGGAAAACTCTCCTCTCCAGTGCAGAGAGACAAACCTACCAGTTTACAGCATGCATTTGCAGAAAAATGGACACTACTTTACAGACTGGGGACACTCTTGACCATCCTTGCAGTGCATGGTATTCTAAGAGGTGTCCAGCAATCATAATAACTGAACTTACAATACCTAATGCCTACCCAGTGATAGCAAATCATTTTATTACTATACAAAATAGGAATAACACATAAGAACCATTTCATTTTGTCATACACAGATTAAAATATGGATCTGCAATAATAAAACTGCAATAGAAAAATAGGAGGCAGGAATATATCCTTCTAGGTTATGCTTATCGATTAAGATTTCCCCAGTCGCTTGTACACAGGAGCTGGCTTGTGTGTTGGGCTACTCACCTCCTTACCCTGAAGGTGAGAATTTTCCAGAAAGAACTGCATCTTACCAGCTTATATGGTCAGAGATGGTTGTCCCTGTTGTCACCTTTGACACATTGGAAAATCTTTTCTATGAGGATTTGCCACTTCATCTTCTGTGACAAGTCACAAAGCAGTGTGAGAAACTAGGTTATTTTCCTTTCCATTCATCCTTGATGTTTCTATGAGTCACATATCCATTGGATTCCCCAGCTACTTTTCCCATGAGTATTTCTAAGGGGGTGAAAAGGAAAGGAGGGTGAAATTTGTCATCTTATAGACAAGTCTCTGGAGTGTGCTATTTATGGGATACATCTACCTTCTCACTGACCTTGCCTCCTTTGCAAATTTATATATCCATTAGAATTTATTAACTATGAATACATTAGGCTCCAGGTGCATTACAAAGTGTCTAGAAAATGTTTTAATAAAATATCCAAACAGCATGTCCAGATAATGCCTGCAATGTCCCCATATGTCTTACTGCACAGATCACACAACTTAGTATGCCCTGATAATATGACCTGCAATAGGTATCATCAGCTATATTCATTAGCATTTAAAATAGGACAAAAAGACAAGCTACTAATAAGTGCTTTCAGTTTTCTAGCTGTTCTATTTGCTATTTAAGAGCATAATATTTTAATTAATTTTTTCCCCCATTATGGAAATAATTTTGAAGCAACTTTCCTTCTGGTTGCTTAAGCAGGTTCATTACAATGCAGTGCAATTTACCCAGCTGGACAGGTCTGCAGGTGGCCAGAAACCCATTAGAGAGGTATCTACCTACTACAGGGGAAACTAATATTCAGGAGACAGGAAATCTCACTGGGACTTCGATTTTGCCAGGCATTAACACAGTTGACTGGGTAGCAGGTGGCTGGAAGCATAAATTTCCCTGTAACTTATTTATTAGGGCTCCCTTGCCGCCCTCCTTCTAGAATTATAACATGCTCTTGGCATTGATAAACCCCAGCAAGGGCACACTGTAAAGACACAATTAGCAAAGTCTCGATAAATATTTTTTATCTGTTTGACCTAAACTCTTTGAGCCAAACTGGGACCCTGTGTGGATTTTTTTTTTTTTCTGAGAAGAGAAAATAAATTATTTCTATGATGCAAGCCTCCTCATTTAGAAATAGCATATAGCAGCCTGTCTTCCTTAACAGAACAAGAGTCAAGGAGGAATTATGTTTTTCTGTCACGGTTCCAAGCCTCTTTTCAGCCAACTTTCTGCTTGGAAAGCTCTCCATCAACTTTTTTTCCTATGCCATAACCTGCTTTTCCTCTGTGGCCTTTTTCCCTCTCTTTTTCTCTGTATGTTTCCATGATGTTTTCTCTCCCACTAAAACCCTAGCCCCTCCGTTCATTCCCATGAAAACTGTTTGAGCCACATATGCCTGTGAGCTGTTTGCATGCTTCAGTTATCTAGTACCGCAAAGGGGCTCATCTGTAATTTGCAAGCCTTGGGAAGAAAAGCTTAGCACCACACACACCAGCTCTAAAGAGGTTTACTTCTGTGTGTAATGGGAGCGTAGAGAAGAAGAATACCATCTATTTGTTCATCTCCTTCCTTCATTTTCTTTATTGTTTAGAGGACAGCTGGGAGGAAAAGCATAGAAAACTCTCACATGAGTGCTTTGGGGCTAGTTGTTGAGATTCCCTAGAATATTCTGAAAAATTCAGTGTTAATTCACAAATACTGAAGGCTGTATGATTGCACTACACCACAGATGTAGGACCTTGTGAACTGGCACTCACAACACTGTCATTTCCATTGCACACTCACCTGTCTTGCCAGACCAAGGATGAAATATTACATTCATACATTTTTTTCACAGCTCACTCAGGACAAACACACATTCTCTCTCCAGCCTCATGACCACATTTGCCAGATGTGGGTTTGTGTGGTACCTGATTATCCATTGCAGGAGCCCTGTGCCAGAAGAATGCCTGCTGCCTGCTTTAGGGCTGCCTTAGCCCTTCTGCATCCATGTTGCACCATTTGACACACCACCACCTCACATACTGCATAAAGAGGTCTTGGAGAAGCCTGGGAGGGCTGCAGCATTCATCCTGCAAGCACAAAACTTTTTGGAAAACACATTGCCTTATGCAAATCAAAGCAATTCTTCTCCCTGCCCACTCCCTGCTAACACCCACACATCTTTTTCCTGGAACTTGTAGTCTCCAAGTAAGCAGTAGATGCAGAAAGATGATACAGTTACTGTAAGTGGTTTGGAGAATGGAAGTGGGTCTTATGTCTGCTTTTAAGAAATTTCATTAATAAGTAAACATATCCATAAATATTCTGGATAAACCAGAGGCAAGAAGGACACACATTTCAGCTACTTAGAAGCAGGAAAAGCAAGAAATGATTTTTTTTTCACAAACTCTTCCTGTAAATTACATGGGAAAGCTGCATAAACCTTCTTTGACCTGGTTTAGCCATATGCTGTTTTTTCCTGTTAAAATATTCACATATAATTAAGTATCCAGAGGCAAAGAGGAACAGAGCTCATGGAGATGTAAGAGGAGTCTGCACAAGCCCTTCTCCCTCACAACACAAATTCCAAAAATCTCAAAAACAGCCAATGTAAATTCAGTCTTTGGAAAGCTGGCTTTAGCTCATTGCCATTTTCTTTGTCCTTTCTCCTAAATGATTTCAACTTTTCTCTTTTAAAGTATGCATACAGAAAATGAATCATTATACTTATTTTTCTTTTCAGCCTTTACTAGACAAACTTTGTGGTTTTGATTCACACATCTCATCTTAATAGCAGTGTAAGATCTTTTAAATTGAGCTGTTAAATAATAAACTTGTACCACAAATATACAACCATTGCAATAAACTCACATCAGACATTCAGACACAATGGTGATAAGAGCTGAGATGACTAGAAAGACACTGTTAAGGCCACTTAAAGGGCAATAACAAATAAATGCTATCAGCTGTGTTTTCTCTCAAAAAAAAAAAAAATCAAACAAACAAAACCACCCTTTCTTCAGAATCTTCAGCTCTTTGCCTTATTTTAACATGCAAAAGCACTGGGACATTTTTGCAGCCTCTTGACCCCAAGCGAAGGGTCTCCATCAAACTCAGTTGTTCATGCATATGAAGATTTTCTTCATAGCTGTGTTGTGTAAATGAGAATTGTTGCCCCTTTGGAGTACATAGAACAAGTGTCTGCCAACGTCCACACACAGCAGGGCTCAGGTATGAGAAGGGGTCACCATGTGTGAGGATGGGCAGCCCTGAGGCGGTCTGTCTCAGCACACTGGAACTGCCCATCCCAGAAACCTGGAAGGCTGAGGCAAACTATCCCAGGCTGCTGGGCACAGGCAGACACTGCAGCATTTCCCTCTGCTTAAAACATACATGAGGGAGAAGAGTGTACTTGGACCTCGTTGTGCTCAGAGCCAGAGACCACTTGTGCTTCCCGTTGAGAGCCACTGGGCACAACATGAGGTTGGACTGGGATCAGGTCCCAAAGCCTCTTTTGCTCATTCTCCTGCATGTCTTGCATTTCCTGGTGTATGGTGACTCTGCCCCAGCAGGAGGGTCAGAGAGCACTGCCTTGCTCAGACTGTCCTGGAGGCCATTGTTGAAGGTACTAGCCTGGGAAGTACAGATGCTTCTTGAAGAAATAAATGCCTGGCTGTTTCCTGAACGGCTCCAAGGTAAGCAAAGGACATCAAATCCTCAGCAACTGGGCACCTACTGGGAAAAATAAACATATGTATACACTAATTCCAAATCATTAGGACACCAACTTTAAATTCAGCCATGTGTCAGGCACCTCTTCACCATCCTGAGCCTTAGCGTGTGATGTTGGCTGGTCTCAGAGCACTCTGTTCCACATATGGGAGGCCTACATCAACCTACATAAGCTACTAAGCTCCTGATTTAAACCTGGAAAAAACATTTCATCCACATGTGCTACATAGATCTTCAGGGGTGCTCTGTCTCTGCAGTGCTTGCATATGCCTATACACCTCATTTCAGCAACCTGCATTCCCCCTGCCAAGACTAAACACCCACTCACAAGGTTTTTCTTTGCCTAAATAATGATGGCAGGTGCTCAGAATCTGGCCTCATACCACATAAAAAAAACAACGTAGCTGAATCATACCCCAGAATGTATTCAGTTTAATTATCTGGTAGGAAAAACAGCTTTGCTCATGATGTTGATCCTTTATGGAGTGCAGTTAATGCAAGCTGTAGCATGTGATGCAAACTGTACATTCTACTTGTTTCATCTCTAATATGTTCTGTCTTAATCTTTCTTTTTTTAAAGTCTCTCTATTGCTTATTCCCACTTTGTATTTAGGCAAAAGTATTGCTTACTATCTCGTTAAGCTCAACTGAGAACAATCGCAAGCTCCATTAGACTACACTGACAATATATGGCTTTAATTATTTTCTTTTTTTTTTTTTCATAGCAAATTCTCACACTGAAGCAGAGTAACAGAGTGGTTGTGACATATTGCTACAAACTCTTAGTGGGAATGTGTGTGGTGGGAATGGGTCTGGGGGAAGGCTGATGGAAGGGCAGGAGAATGCAGAACAGTTCTTTATGTGTTTTTTATTTTTTATTTTTGGAGAAGAATCTTGATGAAATATTTTTGTATACCACATATGCTAAAAGCATGTCCATCTTTAGTGACATCTGGTCAGAATTATACATTCAAGCACACACTAAAATCTCAATCAGGTCATTAGTTACTTCTTGAGATGATAATCATATTTTTATTAAAATTTTTAAGGAGTTTTGAGCTGATTGATTTCCATAACACATAATTTGTAAGACATATTCTGCTATTACTATATTTTCAGTTTAGCCTATCTTATGGCACAGTTAAAAGTCCTGCCATCTGGCAGAACAATCACAATCTTCCAAATTAGAACATAATTCTATACTTTCTTGGTTTTTCTATACTTTCTTGGTTTGTTTTCTTGGAAAAGCTTTTATCCAAAAATATGAATTCTCCTCACAAGCTAGAAAATATTTCCTAAGATATTTAAAGCCAAAAAACTTTGGTACTGTCTCTTCTTACCAACTCACATTGCTTCTAAAATCAGTGTGAAAAGGGGGCCTCATCATCCTTAATATTCTTGGCTTTCACTTCATCAAGGCTTTTCTGTTGAATCATTCAATACTGTTGATACGAGAATTCTTGTGCTGGCAAGATGGTTTTCCTCTTCCAAGGGATCATAAAACAGTGTTATGCATCGAGAGGAACTTTATTCATATCCTACATAGCAGAGCTTATTCCACTGGCAAGCTTGCTGAGGTCTAAATCTTGGCCTCCCTTTTTCAACTCTAAGATATTTGCCATTACTTCACCTCCAAAGAACTATTTTTTTTTCCATTCTCCCTTAAACATACATAAAGAAAAGGTTTGAGTGTTCCCCATAAGTCAGTTTAATGGTATATAGCACACCTGCGTATGACTTGCAGAGAGGTCTGCATGAAGTCTCCAGGTGGGACAAGGACAACTGCAATGCCCACAGGCAAGAGACTGTTCCCTGTGGAGGCATAGGATAGCTTTGCAGGGATCTGTGAATGCTTTTTCCTCAGTGTCCAGATATTTCTTCAAACTAGCCAATTAGGTCCTGTGAATTGGCATAACACTTTCTGTCAATTTAGCAAAGAATTCAGCCTATTGTTTCCATTCCAGACTCCACTTCCTTAAAACAAATAGTTGACTGTAAGCAGTGATGTATAAATATGCACAGAACTCCAGAAATTTCCAAAATTATAATTCAATTGTTATACTGGGATCTCTGGTTCTCAGAGGCCCTTGGCCCATGTCAGTGAAATCCTGATGGTTAGGAACAATAACTTAATTACCTTGAAATTAAGGTTTCAGCCTCAGTGTTACCTAGCAATACGTGCATTGAAAGCATTATGTTTTAAAAGCCGTTTGAAAGCATGGGAAGTTTGCCAAATATTGTCATAGCTCTGATTTTTTTTCCAGCTCCCCTGATATGTGCTCAGAAATGAGGCCGATCTTCCAAGGAGGAAAGACAGCTGGGATCAAGGCATCTCCACTTACGTACCCTGGAAACTTTCAGACCAAAATCTGTACCTGGATTTGGTTTGGGCATTTGGGTGCCCTCAATTCACACCAGGGAATAAGCACTGGGAATCCTCCCTCTGCAGCCTGGAGGAGGCAGTTTCACATTAAATCTGATGGACTGGAGCCTTATTAACCCAGCTTTTTTTTTGTTGTTGTTGTTATGAGGAAGTTTATCAGAGTTTCTCTGACATACCTGCAAGTTTGCCATAGTGATTATACAGTTTGCTATGGATTTATACCTTCTGGGTCCTTCTGGGTCTCACCACAGAGGTTCAAGCTCAAGGAAGATGAAAGCCCAGGAAACAGTGTTTAGGCCTTAAAAGATTCACTTCTGAACCCCAATTCATCTACCATGCCATTGCACCACAGATCTACCTGTCTTTCTAATCCTGGGCCTGTTACCTTCTCTCCAAACTAAATCCTTTCTTCCAAACACCTCCTTGCTGCCAACTCCACCATCCCTGCAAGGAGACAAAGGGCACAAGTTTTCATCTAGGCCCATGGGCTCCACTTGTATGTTGTTTGTATTCCTGTTTGCTCTGTTTTACCACTGCTTCTGCAGCCCAATTCTGCAGTCTTTGGGACAGGGCCTGTCATTTTGTGTTGTGGCTGCTATGACTGGATCCTGCTCCAAGGCAGAGAATGCAAGGCTCTAAGGTAATAAAAATAAATAAATAGGACTTTGGGCAGTCTTTGTAGTGCTTCATATTACAGAGCTCGTGAGACCTTTGTCATAATGTTTTTAATGTATTTTTGCCACAGAGAGAAACTTACACCTCACATAAATTTGACTGGCCATGATAACTCAGACTGAGAGAGTTTTTGTGCTCTTTTTCTCCATCTTAATATCCTGTGTTCTCTTCCATCGAAGCATCTTCAGAGCTGGATGCAATTAAATAGGAAAAGATGGATCACTGAGACCAAACAATGTGGAAGGTCAGGGGAAAGGGTAAATAACCTTGCAGATATTTCTCTCTTCCTCTCCTGTCCCAGGATGCAGCAATCCCTGTTTTCAAAGTGTTGACAAAATCCCACTGCACAACCCTCAGCCTTCTCCCTTCCACCACTGCCAACAATCCCCTTGCCACTGCCATAAAAAACTTGCTCATTTGAATTAAAACCCAGTGTTTGGACTGAAATACAGAAGTAGCTCATTAAACTTTTCTTAGATAAATTGTTTAGACTAAGTAATTCTCTCCTTTCCTCCCCTTGTGTTGCCGGCCTATTGTTTATAGCCAGCATTCCAGGCTGCATGTGATGAAAATGCTGATGTGTTTCCTGAGTTACAGACTCAAGCTTTATCTCATCTTTCATTTAGGAAACTGGCTGCTTTATCATTTTATGCTGCTGTGTGCAATGTTTATTTTTTCCCCATTATTAACATTGTATAGGAGGATGTGCCCAGCCCGATCAGCTGTTAGTTGTATTGTGCATACACCAATACAACATACAAAAAAAAACAAAAAAACAAAAAAAAACATAGTGTAATAGTTTGGGGAAATCTACACACAGCTCATAGTTTCCCTTTGATATTGGGGACAGTCTCTGAGTTTTAGCATAAATTTGTATCTGTGCACTTATGCCCATCACATACTACATTGACTAAATTGTGGGATTTTCTGGTATTCTCTGCTGCCTTTTACTTCCCTATTTAAATCAAAAACCTCAGGATATGACATGGAAAACTCCTGCCCTATGCACAGAGTTAATGATGATCACCTATTCAGCTCAAGTCCTCTTAGAAAGAAATAATTCATCCTCAGGTTTTTCTCTGTTTGGATTCTGCAGGAGAAATTACTATGCAGTGACTCATCTG